TTCGGTGCGGTGGCCGACCTCGCCTCCAGAAATGTCTTCCTCGTCTTCCTCCTCCTCCTCTTCCTCGTCGTCTTCGTCGTCTTCGGGTTCGACATCGAGGATCATCTTTTTAAGAGAGTTAGTATTTCCGCCCGCGGTGCATAACCTGCAGAGGACCATCCATACCTCAAGTGCCTCCTTATACATGGCAACCTGACTCTGCAGCCCAGTAAGGTTAAAGTCATCCTCGATGAATTCCTCCGAAACCTCGGCAAAGTACTCGTGACCCAAAAGGGAGCAAAACGACGAGATCCAAGACTCTGGGGTGCCGGAGGAGGTCGACATTTTCTTTTAGGCCGGCGATTCCGCGTCTCCCTCCGATATCAGAAAATGCAATCCGTACTCGTTTCGTTTTACCACCACCAGCTTGGTTTCGGATCAGCCGTCTGTGTCTGTGTCTGTTGTCGGTGTGTTAATTCCTATGATATCGGCATGACCGACCGATTGAGTTAAGGGCGGGGCGAGATTGTTTGTTGTGGTTCCTGTTCGCTTTTGGCTTTGCGCACTTGCGAATTGTTGAAGTGCCTGCCCTCATTTCATGGTGGACCTGTATGGTCCGTGCGTCACGCACCCCTCTGCTTCTGGGCAAACACAGCCCCGCGTTGGGCAAAGAATTGATGCCTTGAGTTTTAGGTTTTACTCTGCTTTAAATTGATTGATATCTTCAAATCACGTGCTACCGCGTTTGGTTTAAGCTCCAAGTCACGTCAACCCCCACCTCACTTCAAGCCCGCAGTGTGCACTCAGAGAACTCATATGGGCACCAATCATGTCACGGCTTTACAGACCAACAGCACTTTTACGGCCGTCCGTCAGGATATTCTCAAAGACAACCCCCCCAGTCAGGTCCCAACCCCTATCCACAGTCCGTCAAATAAACGGACCCCTGACTCCCGAAATTCTCAAAAAAGAAGACGTCGACATAACAAAACCTTTTGTCGTGCGATCAAGACTCGATGGAGATGGAGATGGGGATGGAGATGGCGCTCACAACACATCAATCTCCAAATGGTTCTCGGAGCGAGAAAGAAATAACAATTCATTTCCGAAGTTTTCTGATTACCTGAACGACCACTTGGACCTGATCCTCCCATACGAACTCATCCTTCCCTCAAAAACAGAATACGAGATAAACCCAAACAATCCTGTCAAGCGCTTCATCTCGTGGCTTTCAGACAAATCCCGTGCACTCAATCCTCATTTTCCATCTTTATCCGTCCTCCTCGAGCATGAAATAGCCCATCTCGGCTTAATCGTAAATCCAAACAACAACAACAACAACAACAATAACAATATTAACCCCAGCAACGACAAAGAAGGAGAAGCAAAAAACGTCCGATTCTTGCGCTTCGATGCACCCCTGGCGCTCCTTTCGGCCGGTCTTGAATACAATTCCCGCTGCTGCCCAGAAGAAATCCCCCTGACGCAGCTGTACATCGCTCAAGCGCCGATCTCAAACCTCCCTCCGGTTCTCAAAGCTGACTTAGGTGGCGGACCATCATCCATCCTGTCGTGCCTGGGCAGGGGGGACATATACAACTCCAGCATCTGGTTGGGCCTCGAGCCAACATACACGCCCTGGCACCGAGATCCGAACCCGAACCTCTTCGTTCAGCTGCGCGGGAGGAAAGCAGTACGGCTCATGCCCCCAAACAGGGGGCGCAACCTGTACGAAAGGGTCCAAGCAGAGTTGAAGCAGACACCATCGAGTTGGAGAATCCGGGGCGAAGAAATGATGCAGGGCGCCGAGAGGAATGCGTTGTTCAAGGCTGTGTGGGATCCTAGTAGTCCTGGAACGGGCTTGTCTCAGGCGGTTCTAGGACCGTGTGATGTGATGTATCTGCCAAAGGGGTGGTGGCATTCGGTCAGGTCTGAAGGGGCGCAAGCGTTTGCGGGCGGGCTGAATGCGTCTGTAAACTGGTGGTTCCGCTGAGGGGAGCCGGTATATAACGCGTTCGTGGTCTGAAGACACAATTCTGCATATATGAGGGTAGCTGGCTGTCCATTGAACTTTCGTGATCAAGTTGAGGAAATCTTGGTCAATTGATTTACAATCAGTAAAGAGTTGGGGGTTTTGAAACCGTTTTCGACCCCTTGCTGCTTTGCTTGCCAGTTATCTGCACGTCTTGTTCATACACACGATTATTATTAGCTTACAAGCAATTAGTATAGCTATGTAGGTAGCGGATCATGGACGAAATCTCCGATGGGTCCCGCTCTTTGTTTCACTAGTAGGTACGACTACAACTTCATTGGACGAAACTTTGGGTCTCACGTTTGGGCTTTTATCGGCCTTTCCCCGCTTTAAACTTTCAACTCCAACCCATTCCTCTCCTAAACCAGAGAAACAAACATACCGGAGTATCTCATCGATTTTTTTTTTAAAAAAAAAAATTCTACAACAGTTTTGCAGAACGAGAACATTGAAAGAAATGGACCAACGCGCCAAAATCCCAGTCTCGTTCCCCACCACCGGCCCGGCACCACCAACAAAAAGTTACTGGCAGGATCCCCCAGACGAACAAGTGGCTGATTACTCGAGTATGAGAGATCAGAAGAGCGGGGATAAACTGCTGCCGAGCGAGGCGGACACGGTTATCATTGGGAGCGGGATCACGGGTGCCTCTGTTGCGTGGGGGTTATTAAGTGCCAGTGCCAGGAACTCTAAAGTCGGCTCGGAGGAAGCAAAAGGAGACTCGGAGGACGAGGTGACGGAGGCAAAAAAGCAATGGAAGGTCGTGATGCTCGAGGCGAGGCAGACTTGTTCTGGCGCTACAGGACGGAATGGTAACGCACCCTTTTTCTGTCTTTGAATAAGTGTGTGTGTGGTGGGCATAGTGTTTATGAATACTGACAAATATATACAGGTGGTCACACCAAAGCAGCCTCATACCGCAGCTTTCAGCACCACGTCTCAACCGTCGGCTTGGAAGAAGCCAAGAAGATTGCAACTCTGGAGCTAAACAACATCCAAAAAGTCCACCAGTTCATTCGTGACGAACGAATGAACTGCGAGGCATGGGAAGGGGAGACGGTCGACGTCATCTACGATCAGCACGAGTGGGAATCCAGTCTCGACGGAGTCAAATCGATGAGCGAAGCGTTTGGCAACCAAAAGGAGGGAGAATACAAGATCTACGAAAGTGAGGAAGCGAAACGCGTTTTCAAAGTCAGTGACACCACGTGGGAAGGAAACGCAGAGACGGTCAAGGGCGCGGTGAGATACTACGCCGGGAGCTTGTCGTCATACAAATTCGCCGTGGGGTTGGTCAAGAAGTGTCTCGAAAGAGGCATGGGCTTGTGGACCGGAACCAAAGTCACCGCGTTGGAAAAAGGTGACGATGGTTTGTGGTCGGTAAAGGCTGAAGGAGGACAGGAAATAAAGGCAAAAAGAGTGGTGTTAGCTACCAACGGGTACACGGCCGCTCTGCTGCCCTCAAAGTTTCAAGGCGTTATCGTCCCGCTCAGAGGACAGGTCACGGCTCAACGACCAGGAAGCAAGATGCCAAAAGAAGGGTTAGACACTACGTACAGTTTCATATATGATGGTGGATACGAGTATATGGTCACGAGACAAAAAGGTGTCGGTGCTCGGTACGAAGGGGATGTGATTATGGGAGGCGGGTTGGTCAGAGGGGAGAAGTCTGAGGGCGGGATGATGGAATTTGGGATTACGGATGATTCGAGGTTGAACGAAGGGGTAAGCGAATATTTGAGGGATACCGCAGTCAGGTACTTTGGGGGAGAGAATTGGGGTGAGGATGATGGTGGGGGAAGAGTGCGACAGGAGTGGACGGGAATCATGGGGTTCAGTCCTGATGGATTTCCTTTGGTGGGTGAGGTTCCTGGAGAGAAGGGGTTATGGGTTAGCGCCAGTTTTCAGGGACATGGGATGGTGCTTTGCTGGATGTGTGCCAAGGCGTTGGTTGCAATGATGGATGGGGAAGGTGACGATGATCCAAATGACAGCAGGTTAGATGCTTGGTTCCCTGACTCTTTTCGAATTAGTGAGGAAAGGCTCAAGAAGAGGTTCCAGGGGAGGTTCTCATGATGTAATCAATTAAAGTAATTAGGCTGGCGCTTAAGATGTTTCGACTCGATCTACAATAACCAGTATCTTTTTGGAAAGTTGGCGCACATGAGCTGGATCTTGCAATTGCAATGACTAAAATTTCAGACGGAACGGATCCAATATTGTCAGATTCTCGATGCTCAGCAGGGACGGTTACTTCGAGTCACTGGCCGCATACTTAAGCATCATTGAGGTATGTCTAAGGAATATGATGCAAATGCTACAAATTGACTAATGACAATCGATTTCTAAACCACGAATCAGAATCGGCAGAATCGATTTGAAAAATCGTGTAGAAGAAGCTGGCTTCGCTTCAGTAAATAAACAAATACATAAAAAAGCAGACAGCTCATTTAATATACTTCACTAGATTTATTCACTTCCGACTCTTTTCTTAGATCTATTAATAAAGCCTCCCGTTCGTATCAGTCTTACCCCAACTATCATGATGACATGACGTTGACGAATCTGGCTGCCCTATTCTCAGAGACTAGACCAGACATTATACCTTATATAGCATACGCCTACTCTTAACGATCCCATCTCCAAGGGTTCCAAACTTTATTAAGTAACTCCTTAAAGAAGTAATTAGAACCTCGTTACCACACCGCTCATAAAGACGACTTAAAGTGTCGCTTCATTACCTATGTCCAGTGAGAACTGAAATCTATCAAGATACTGTTCCTCTACAACTTCTTGACAGCTACAGTAATAGAACCGAGTAAGAGAACAAGAAAAGGGAGAAGTAAAATAGGTAATGGTAAAATAAATTGCAGGTATGTTATGCATGCATGTATGTATATGTACAGTACCTGATGTCTCGACTCTCCCGGCTCAGGTTGTCTGGACTTAACGTAAATGAAGGGGAAAAAGAGATAAAAACAAAATTCGACCATGCTGGGACTCGAACCCAGAGCCTTTACCAATCGAGAAATTATCAACTTTGAGAGAATTATTTCAGAAGTTAGAAACCGGAAAGTAACGCGCTACCGTTGCGCCACACGGCCTGAATTGTGTGTGGCTTTGTTGAGAAAATGTGAATATGTTGTCTGCCAGGTCAGACAAGAAAAAAGGGAGCGATCATCAATATCACAGCCCCAGATTGTCTACTTCACAAGAACAAGAATCGCATTGATAGACAGCCGCCAAAGGCGAATAGGCTTCATTGGTGTATGCTCAACTGTTGTTTTACACCATATTCTCATTTACGCTGTTTCTATTTCTGTTTCTGTTTCTAGTTCTGAAATGTTTCTACCACCGAGAACTCAACAACTCAAATCCCCTTGGTCACAAATCGTCAAACACCAAAAGCCGACAACCCCAAGCTATCACTCATACAAGCAGGAACTTTCTACAAGGTAAAAAGACTTCGCTCAAGCAGTGAAGAACACAACAAAAGACAAATAAATAAAAAACACCTCGACTGACCCTACCAAAAGATATGCGCCAGCCGCCTTCACATACCGAGACAGACTCCCCTAAAACACCATTTTGTGTCGCCAAAACAAGGAAAACTTCTGAAACGAGCTGTATCCCTAAAACTGGAAAGTAAAAAGAACCAAAGAAAGAAAAAGGAAAAAACAAAACTTTCAGGCTGAGACCCCTTGTGAACAGAACCCGGATATAGACACGAATGAGAAGAAGTTCAAAGTCGAGAGGATACTCAACCAGCCTTTAACTTCCTCTTCATCGCCCCATAAACTTGAGTCCATCCAGTGAGCTCATCTCTGTGACCCAGGGTTAGGCAAACCTAAACTGGAAGCGCTCTCCCCAACTCTGAGCTCATCCTCTGGGACCCCAAATCCAACTGTCGATGGCGAGCTGATCTGGCTGACCACCCTAGGTCTGTCCCTCTGAGCAGCAACGCTGATGCCGCCGGCCCCCGTGGCACTCGTAGCCACACTAGCAGCCACGCTCGTCGTGGTGCTGACACTATCACTTCTTGGCCTACTGCCAGAGCGAGCGCCCGCGCTAGTTGGAGCGTTGGCACCTCCACCAGCGGAGGGACTGGCGTTGCTTTCTCTCCTCTGTCGAATCAGGCCTTCCAATTCCTTCAACCTCTGCTTGAGAGCCTCATTCTCTGCCCTGACACTGTTGAGTTGCTCGCGGTAATACATTGCCTCTTCCATTCGGGGCGTCGCTGGCAGGATTACAGATGATGCGTCTGTGTCAGCTCCTGGGGTGGCGATAACGGATGTGGTGGCAGAGTGGGAACGATTCATGGCAGAAGAAAAGTAGCCGGACTGTTCGTGGGGAGCAGGCGAACCCGCCCTGCTACGGCGAGAAGTTGTACTAGCTCGTCGTTGACGCGCGACATCGGCAAGGGTTGCTGGAAGCCCAGTGGCTGGACTTATACGAACAGGAACGGGTGAGGAGATGCCGGGCGCCATTGAGCTACCTGAGACTGAACCCACATTGCTTCTTATGCTAGTGTTCGATGATGTGCGTTGATGGCGGCCACGGTACGTCTCAAGAGGAGGGATCGGTTCAGTCGTAGTAGCACTTGTGGAGGATGTCGTAGACACGACAGACGCGTTATGTGCGGCACGCAGGAGAGCGAGTTCGCGCGTAAGTCGGTTGACCTAGGAAAGGTATTGTGAGCAAATGTATCGAGCAGAGACGGCAGTATCTTGACTTACAACTGCCTCTTGTTCCTTTTCGAGCTGGGAGTGGATGTCACTAGCAGTCACCGGGCGTGGGTGACGCTGAGGCCCTGGCCCTTGACCAACTCCAGTGTTGTCTCCCATTGCGGATCCTGGGACGTGGCTGATGTGTGGAAACTGGGGCGACGGCAAGGCAACTGAGCTGGTGGGGTTGTTGACAAGTTCCTGGTTTGAAGGCAGGATGTTGATGGACGGTGAACTGGGAGCCATTTGCTGTGAAGACTGACGAGACGAAGTAGCGAGGAAGTGGGGAGATGCTGGAACCGAGTTCAAGTCTGGCATTTTGCGGTGTATCAAGGCGCGGAAAGCTCGTGCCACGTTCGAGCGGAGGTGGAGGTTATTGGAAATCCTAAGCTGCAGGGTGCAAGTGCAACAGGTTGCTCGGAGCTGTACAAAAGCTACAAAAGATGTCCGCAGCAAAGTAGAAATAGATATCTTCTAGCAATGGCAATCTCTAATAGTATGCCGCAAACAAATTTCTTACTTTGACTCTGCTGATCAGTATCGGTGAATAATTTGGAGATGCTGCGGAGGAAGCTTCCTTCCGTTGCGCAGGAAGCCACGGAAGCTTGGGCCCTGAGCCAGCCTGCAAGTTAAAAGTGGGACACGCATCGAACAACACCTGCAGCTGCATCAGGATCGGCAAAATGCGTTTGATGAGTGCCATGATGTAATTGTTCAATGGTGAGATGAAAGACGGGAAAGGTTAAGGTACAGTGATGTCAATCAACTGCAGTCAGCCATCTATATAAGCTGAAACTCGCCTGCTCCTGGAGAACAATTGCAAGTTCATCCAACTTTCCTTTATACCGCAGACACTCTTGGACAAGACACAGAATCCTACCAATTAAACACAATCACCATGCCGCAATCACCTCCCCCTGAGCAACAGACTGGCAAGCAGCTTCATGATGTCCCCGGATCTGGCAAGGGAATCGATGATGTTGGTGACAAGGTCGATGCCAACAAGAAGGCTCTTGAGGTCCGCAATAATATTTGAGGCACATAACACCGACAGAATGCATTGCTAACGTTTCTTCAGAGCCTGACTTCAAACCCCAAGGGTCCTCTGGATGACGAGGTCACCAAGAAGTTCGCCAAAACGGCTAAGACCAGCAACGACGACAAGTGATGGAATTATTATTACATCTTTTAATGCACGCGGGCCGGAGTTATGGTTCTGGGATCTCTATACATTATGAACATAAAGTTAGACGAAGCAAATGGGAATTTATCAATTGCTGAATTGTTGAGACATGACACCTTGCAAGTGGGCGAGTGATGTGATCCACGATGAACCCCGCACTCCAAAACCATTGAATGGAGTGGTTCGGGACTCGGGAAATTGTTTGAACTTTCAACAGCTACATATGACGATGGACTGTTTGTGTAAAAAGTGATTAACGACAAAAAGCCACCGGATAAAGATATTGCACATGTTATTTCTGCCAAATTGCGCGATACGTCGCGTCCACGCAACCAGTTGAGGCTGGTTGAGTGGAAAAGCTGGCACTCAGTATTCACATGCTTCAACCTGAATTTGAAAGGTTATGACGTGGACGGCCCCCCTGAGAAAGCTGGACCCTGTCAACCTGAAGGCCCATCCGAAGCCACATTTTAGCGGGTCTTGGGCGCTGGACAGACATTTGCCGCGTTACAGTTCAGACACAGCCACAATCAAACGGCCCCGCGATCAGCCGATGACGACACTTGATTGCCCCGTTCCACAGCAGCTCCTGCCCCTCTCTCTGTCTGGTCTTGCTTCTTCGAGGCAGTTCCAGCAATCAACGACATCATCTTGGCAGTTACCACCAACGCAATCCCTTTAAAGAACCTACCCTTCCCAGTTTCACATTCTTTTCCATATTCCCGCCCATACCAAAACACCAATACAGCCTCATTATCTTTTTTCGTGAACAAACACGTTAAAGCAAACCCTGCACGCAAACAGACGTTGAAACTACCCAATTTCACCCCAACGAACCTCAACAGATTATACAGTCACTGCAAAAATGGCTGCCACAGTATATGTCAAGAATGTTGCCCCCGGCACTGATGACAAGGAGATCAAGGAGTTCTTCAGCTTCTGGTAAGCAACAACCACCACCCTATCCCCCTGTCCTCACCACACCAAGTCACTTACATCTGTGTTCCCTCGCAGCGGCAAGATCACCTCCATCGAAGTCAGCACAGAAGGCACCACCAAGACCGCAACAGTCACTTTCGAGAAGGAAACAGCAGCCCGCACCGCCCTCCTTCTGAACCACACCAAGCTCGGCGAGAACGAGATCTCGGTCACGGGCGCCTCTGACGGCACTTCTACCCCGACAGAGGAGGACGTCCCACGTTCCTCAGACGACACAACCATCACCCAAGAGGAGAAGCCCCGCTCCCGTATCCTTGCTGAGATCCTCGCTCACGGATACCTCGTCGCTGATACCGGTCTCCAAACGGCCATTTCCCTTGACGAGAAGCACCAGGTCAGCACCAAGTTCGTCAATACCGTCAAGCAGCTTGACGAGCGAACGCACGCCTCCGACAAGGCCAAGGCAGCTGATCAGAGCTACGGGTTGACTGCCCGTGCCAACAGCTGGTTGAATGGCTTGGGCTCCTACTTTGAGATGGTGTCGGAGCACCCCACTGGGAAGAAGCTGGTGGACTTTTATACTGCCAGCTCGAAGCAGGTGCAGGATATCCACAATGAGGCGAAGAGACTTGCAGATCTGAAGAAGGCTGAGAGCGGTGGAAGCAGTTATGTGGCTTCGGGGTTGGATAAGGTCTTTGGGAGGTTTACGAAGGGCACCGATGCGTCAGCGGAGGGTAGCAAGAAGTCGAATGAGGAGGTTCCTGGTGCCGCGCCCGCCGGGGTTACTGGGGAGGAGAATAAGACTGGCCCCACGAAGGGAAGCGGTCTGGAGAAGTCCGAGGTTATTTCCTAAATTTGAGCGGCCAGAGCTAGAATGAAGGGTTATGATCCTATAGCACAGGTTGTGTTTCACGAGAGCATGATGGTTTCTTCTTTCAGGGTTTTCTTTTACTTTTTTCTTTACTTTAGTTTTTCTTCTCAATAGTTTGATATCCCCTGTGGGCTTGGGAGTCAGAGGTATGATGAATGAGTAGTGGAATTTGAGATGAATTCTTCACCCTTTTGAGTCTTTTGACGCTTTTTTTTTTGTCACGCTTTAGAGGTTTATTGTTGCTGTGGGACACTACGTAACTGTAACAAACATCGGTTGTTGATGTACCATACATATCCGATGACTGATAGTTTCCTGTAAGTGACTTGCTTAATAACAACCAACAGTCTCCAATTGAGGCATACAGAACATGGCATGACTAATACA